CAAATCAAAATAAGAAGCCTGGTACAAGAAATCCTTCGTTAAAGCTTGTTATTGATGAAACAATTTTGGATCGGGAAAACAACCTTCCAATCCCAGAGAAATTAGACCGGTCCAGAATTTCAGATCCAAATAACAATTTCATATGGGGGAACTTACTTCGTATGTGTATGTCTAAGAAAAAATTTACACGTAATGAGGCATATAGTGCAATTCAGGCAACAATAGCATGTGTTGAGCAAAGAAAAATAACCTGGATAGTTAAACTTAAAAATTCCGATGGTCTTTATTTTGATATGGGACGCGAATTAGATCTTGCAAAGCATACAATTAATATAATTGAGCATGGAGGAGAAGCGGTAAAATTACATTCTCTGATAGATAGAGTAGTTACAGAAAATTTAATACATTATGATGAAATCGATTTTCTCCCATATCCTCCAAATGTAATCCCACCAAAAACAAATTTCTTTAATCTTTTCCTGGGATTTCTAGCTAAACCAGTAAAAGATATAAATCCAGAAATTATGAATCCTATCCTTTGGCATGTAAAAAATGTAATCTGTAATGGAAATGAGGAACTCAATAATTATATCTGGAACTGGTGGGCATATTTAGTACAAAAACCGGGAAGGAAACCAAGATCAATTCTTGTATTAAAATCCACTTTACAACAGTGTAGAAAAAATATTATTACTGATTTTATTGGTGATAAGGTATTAGGGCCAAATCTCCATTACGCAACATCTGATTTGGGAAAAATTCTTGGGAAATTTAACAGTGTTATTCAAGGTAAAAAGCTTATAGTCATGAATGAAACCAGTATGTCTAGTGGGGAGTGGCATAGGTTTAATGGTCATCTTAAATCCCTTATAACAGAGAGGAAGGTAAGTATAGAGCGCAAAGGTCTCGAAACTTTAAGAATAAACAATTTTAGTGGATTTATGGTCACAAGTAATCAGGATGCTCCGCTTAAAATAGAAGCAGGTGATGCTCGTATAGTTTGTTTTAACGTATCTGCACGCTGTAGGGGTAATATTGCATATTTCGATAGATTGGGAGAAATTCTTGATCATCCTGATGCACCAGGAGTAGTCATGTCATATCTTCTTAGCCGTGATCTGACAAAGTGGAGTCCGCAAAAATTCCCTACCACTAAAATGAAAACAGATACAATAATGAAACAACTTCTAAATCCCACCCGCTTTATAATACAACATATTAAATCATGGTCCAAAAATCAAATCGAAAAACTGATCTCTGGAAATTTATATCAAGATTATCTTACTTGGTGTGGAAACGAAGGCGAGGATCGAATCAATAACAATAAATTTGGAGGTTTTCTCCCACCGATAGGGATTGAGAAAAAGCAGATTCGGATCAATGGAAAAAGAGAATGGGTATATATCCTCGAACGCTCAAAAATTGTTGCTAAATTACGAGAATCGATAGGTGATATCGAAGAATTTTCAGACTCGCCCGAAGCTGAGATATCCACCAACACGTCCACAGATATTCCTATATTCAATGCCCCAGAAATCGTATTGCCCGAACCAGAAAAAGTAGATCCCATTCCATTGGCTACGGATCGCATCGAAAAAGGTAATAAAACATCCACCTCATCCATTACTAATGAAACCCAGGCTCACTTCCATTCAATAATAGATCAACCAGAATATTCAGTTGCTTCGTCATCCAAGTCTACCGATATATCTCCGCCCCCCGAGATCAAACACATAGAACTTGCAGATGATAAATCTAAATCACCGGAAATTATCGAATTAATGAGTGATGGAACAGGATCTGTAAATGATGAGCCAGAGATTTCTCCCGACTTACCTGCAAATAATGAGGAAGCAAAGCTTCGAATCTCCGATTCAACTCCCATCCAGATATCATACCCACCTGGATATATATCCCGAGTGGGAAGGGAAAAACGTCTCAGACAGTGGGTGATTGATCACGGCGAAGATCCAGATATGTTCATGACTATTACAGAGAAAGATGAAGATTTAGCACGTATATATCGTGATAGATTATGTTCGGACGCAGACATGATCCAATTCGCGAGAGATACCAATGATGATCCAAATACATTAATGGATATGTCTAGGCGAGAACGTTTAATAAGTGAAGAAATTACGCTCCGAATGTTTGAAGATGATGGCGAGTACCGGCTAAGTAGTTATGATGATGAGGAATGGATAGAAAAAATAACGATACTCCAAGAAAATGGATATCTATGGTAAGATCACTAATATATACTAAGGAATGAATAGGTCAATTTCTCAGGTAGGGGGATTTTTTTGCTCTTACAAACTAGTCAACATAAAATTTTCAGATAAAAATATTATGCAAACTTTGTGTTATATACTGGTTTTTGTGTCGCCCAAAACGATAAATACTAAAAATTTATCTATTACCTTGTAAGCCTTTAGGTAATTCACGGATAATTAATTTCGATTTGAAAAAATATTTTTTATAGTGTATATAACCTAAAGAATTACTCATAACCTATTCGACCTACTATTAGATCATGTCAGCCATCGCAACTAAAATCGTTGAAAAATACAACCTTACCTCTAAAACGAGTGTGTCTAAACTTAGTCAATACATCTCAGAGTTTCTCGAGAATCTCACAGATGATAGGAAAAGAAATCAAGCACGAAGGCGTCTACGGGATGGATTCAAATTTAGCAATGAACAAGTAAGTATATTAATACCTAATCAAAGAAGTGGTAAAGCTAAAGTCAAGCATAAAGTGCTCTGCTCTACAGTAAATCTTGCTGAAGTTAGTTATAGAACGACTACACCCTCCGATAGTTTCCAAGTTCCCGACTTAACTCCACAAAATTCAGAAGAAACTATCAGAGAGATGGCGCATCGATTTTTACGGGATAAGCTTAGTATTAGGGATATAAGAGCTGAAGCTTATGCCTTAGCCCTATCGGCATTAAATGCTAATGCTGGTTCATCGCGTCTTTCACGACTCAGAAGAGAATTAAGAAATCTCGGTGTTTCATCTGAGATAATCGATGCTACAAAATTTCCTGAAATTACAAGAGAAGCTAATGAAATCCAGCAGAATCGACGGAAATTTGTTGAGGCATTCGAAAGAATTGATTATCCAGATTATTTTACATTAGAATCAGTTAAGAAAAGATTAGATAAATATGATATTTCTACTCCGCCCGATTTACAAGCTCTTGCAGATGTTATGATAATGCTTTGTATACGCCCCGCTGAACTTACAACTTTACGCATTACAGACATTGGAGTGACAGGCTTTGCGAAGAATAGAGGACAGCTAGATATCCCTAGAAAATTTAGATCTATGGAGAAGAATCAAGAACGAGCCAAAGAATTACTAACCTGGATACAGAATGCTATTTCTTCTAGGCAAATCGGTGACCCAGGAAAACCTGGATGTAAATGGTTTAATAGATTTTTAAAAGACTATGATTTAATCCCTCGTCACTTGCATAAATTAGGTGCGGTTTATGGGGCAGTAGTACACGGAGCTCAAAATCCAGCACATGTAATGACAATCGCTGGAGAGTGTCTACGCCACAACACCAATAACCATAGTTCACCAGTACAAAATTATGTTGTGGTAAATTATCGCAAGCGTGGGCAAACTCCTGAAGAAGCGAGACCATTCCGACTTTATGATGATAATAACTAATCACGCTTCTTCACTTTCACCACACCCAGAGTAAAATCTTCACCATCGCTAGAAGATTCAGAGTTGGAGCCAGATGAAGACGAGGACTCAGATACGGTATCATTAAAAATTAGTTTTTTTCTAGCATTGCATTTTCTTTTAACCTCAGATGGTGTATGATTTCTTCGAGAAATATCTGGGTTTGCTATCAAGTTTATAATATCCTGCTGAATCTCGGGTTTCACTATTTTTAGTA